ACAGAGCATATAAATTTGATCTCCTGCAAATTATTTAATAATCCGCTAGCCTCGTCTCTGATCATATTATCGATTTCTGAATCTTCATCTATGCTGCACAAAGCATCGTGAATTGCACCAATTTGAAACCGCAGAGCTTTTAATGAGTCGACTCGACTTTCCCATCGCGTATTACTCAATGGTTTTAGGGTGTAAGTATCAATATATTTCAGTAATATTGCCCAACGAAAAGAAGAGGAAGACAAAAACTTTTGAACAATATTGAAGAAGTTGGCTGCCTCAAACGAGGATTTTGCCATATCGTTTACAACCAAATTTAGCGAATGGCTGCTGCATGGAACTGGGGTTTATATTTCTGATTCTTGTTTGTACTCCCGATTTTTCCCCTCTCATATTGGAATCATTGGCATACCCTTGACCGCGCATGTTTTCTACTTTAGGCCTATTTTTCTCTAGCTCTTTTAGTAAAACCAGGGTTCAAAAATATCATGATATTTATATAAATATCATATCACATGATATATATATCTGATATAATATATCGGATATATATCCGATATATATCATTTTTAAAATTTAATTATTTAGTTAAAAAACAGTATTGTTTCTTGCACAAACTATATTTTAAATTTTAACACAAACATATTAACAAAAACAACAAAACCGTTTATTCTAACTCAAATTAAAAAGAAAAACAAAAATAATTAATAAAATAAACAGATTTTAACATTATTTTATTAACATTAATATTTAAACACAGACACATATAAATCGCTAGTTATTATACTTTTAAACAGGGGCGTATTGAGACATTTTCGGATGTTCAGAATAGTGGAAAACATTTTTAATTTAATAAATAAAATTATCGAATATATCGGATATATATCAAGGTATAAATATCATGATATATATCGTGATATATATCATGATATATATCACTTGATATATATCCTCCGAACCCTGAGTAAAACCTCCGACAATTCCTTAGCTGTTGATCTCTCAATGGGTAGAAAACTCAAAAAATGTTCGTTGATAATGACTTGAAACTTCAGACTCTGATTCCTGTATGGAGACAAATCTTATCACAAATGTCATCTGTTCTACTTTACTTGCATCGGCAATACAGTCAAAAATCACGGAATAATACTTGGCCTTTTGAACTTGCTCAATGATGTGGTGCTTTATGTTGTCATGCAATAATTCAATTATTTCATTTTGTATAGTTTTCCCTAGATATGAAGCTTTGATTTCTTTTTTATTGAAGACTCTGCGAACGTGTTCCTCCATTTTTGGCTCAAACTCAGCCAATAACTCAATTAACTTCAAAAAGTTTCCATTATTGTGTTCATACAGTTTATTGCTTGTTCCTCGAAAAGCTAGAGAGCTCTCACCTAGCATTTTAACGGCTGATATAATGCGTAAAAGAACTTCAGACCAGTGATTTATCTCAGAATCAATGAGTCTCTGAGAAACTGCATCTATTGTTTCACCTATTTTCAATCTTTCCTTTAATTCAAGCCATGATTTCAAACAATCTATATGAGTTTTAGCATTTTCATGATGTGCTAAAGACTCCCCTAAATGCTTCTAGTCTTTAAATACCCGATTGCCAAGAGCGCTCAAGCTAGATGGTGCAGCAAAAAGTCGACATGGAAAACAGTACAAAGCGTTTTAAAATACGGAATATACCATCCATTCTCTTAAAACCTCTTCTCCATTTGTAAGCCTTTTCTTGTAATGTTTTGGTGAGAATCTTCTATGCTGATCATCAAAAGGAAAATCAAAATTATACAAAGGGCAGTTGGACCACGTTTAACCAAAAAAACTCTATCTACTGCACGCATGATTTTTGGCCATAATCCTGGATCAGAAGAGATACTTTGCACGGTAGTCTGTTCTAAATGTTGCTCTGAGGTCTGCACAACTTGCGAATTTTGATTTTTGGAACTGCACGGACTGCATCACTACTCGCCAAACTCGTTTAAGATGACTTACCCAGCTCTGTAATGCTGACGGTTGCGTCCAAAGGGGGGTTCATATCCGGAAAGTCAGTATCTAGGTGCTGGGCGTTGTTCAAATGTTAGTCGGTTGTGGGAGCGTTGAAACTACCTTCTTTCAAGAAGTTCTGCAGCGCATCTGACTTTTTTTGAAGCTGTTTGCTTGTTCAATCTCCGCTTTTTAAATTCGTTTCCAGAGGGTTTTCTCTTAGCATCGGATATTTTGGTTTCTGGAACAAATTAATTAAAATAAAAGATAATACTGATATCAAAAAAAGCCATGATTTGATTTAAATTATAATTTCTGAAATCCCCCCTTGTACGCCACTGGCTTAAGAAAATGTATTTTATTCAACTTTAGACTCAATTACCTTTCATTCGATACCACACAAGCCATGATTTGATTTAAACTCTAATTTTTGAAATCCCCCTTATGCGTCACTGACTTAAAAAAATGTATTTCATTCAACTCCAGACTCAATTACCTTTCATTTGATACCACACAAGCCGTTTTTTGATATAAACTCTAATTTTTGAAATCCCCTCTCGTGCGCCACTGGCTTAAAAAAATAAAATGCATTTTATTCAACTCCAGACTCAATTACCTTTCATTTGATACCACACAAGCCATTTTTTGATGCAAACTCTAATTTTTGAAATCCCTCCCCTTGTGCGCCACTGGCTTAAAAAATAAAATAAATTTTATTCAACTGCAGGTTCAATCAACTTTCATTTGATACCACACAAGCCATTTTTTGATATAAACTCTAATTTTTGAAATCCACCCTTGTGCGCCACTGGCTTAAAAAAATAAAATGCATTTTATTCAACTCCAGACTTAATTACCTTTCATTTGATACCACACAAGCCATGTTTTGATCTAAACTCTAATTTTTGAAATCTACCCCCCACCCTTTTTTGGGCATATGTCTGATGGATTTTTTAGTTTTTAAAAATAAAAACAAAAATTAAAACACTTACCTTCACAGAAGCCAAACGCACTGGACAATTTGCACAAACTATTTATATTATGAAAAATAATTTATTGATATGATATTAGAATGATAAAAAAATATTCTTTACTTTTTAGTGTATTTTATAAAAGCCTGTAACTTAATTTTTTTTATCAGTTTATTTTCATTTTCCATGATTTTGGCGCCCCTAGATCGTCCTACCCTGGGTCCGGCCCTAATATAATTTAATATAATTGACACATTCAAAGCATATAAACGGTAAGTTGATGACCTTTACATGTAATTCTATCGATTTCATATTTTTTTAAAGAAAAATTCTATTTCGGCGATTTGAGAAACTTAACGTTATTCCTGATTTTGAGTGTGAACATAATTTCATATTCACAAGATGAATTAATGCCTGAGTCCGTCCAGAAAAGAAGCAGGTGAGACATATATCGAGGGCCACAAGACAGGACCTCGTAAGCCAAGAAATCGACATTTTTCAGATGAAAAAAATGTTTTACTTATAGATAATCCATTTTACTCTATCATAGGACTAATATTTAGCCATGTCTTGTTCAAGTGAAACTTGGCTTAATGAAGACTTTCATAGTTCTGAATTTTTCGGCGATAGATATGTTGTATTCGGGAAAGACAAAAATAATGCAGCCGAAATGGAACTTTAATAGCAACTTTACCTCATGTTACAACTGACAAGATTAATACTCCAACATCTACACAAATGATGATATTTGGGTTAAGGCTAAAATAAACAATATCGACACGGTAATTGGATGTGTGCACATTCCTCCAAAATCGTCATTAGAAAGCTATTTATCTTTTTGCGATTTATGCGAATTTCTAAAAAGCAAAGTTAAAAGTCATAAATTCATAATATGTTGTGACTTCAATCTTCCACATGTCCAATGGGAAATTGAAGATAATTTTGTTGTTCCAACTAGAATTCAACCTGCTACCACCGAGGCTTTAATTGATACAATGTGTTTCCATGAACTCAATCAAATAAACTATGTTTTCAATTCGCTCCAACGGATACTGGATCTTATATTTGTGGACGAGTTTGAATCAATTGAATGCAAATCTAGCGATTTTTCACAAGTGAAAATTGATCCTCTACATCCCCCACTTTTGGTTAACTTCACGAATAAAAAACCTCGCTTACTCAGTGATAATAAACCAGTTAATGTACATCAGTTCCATAAAGCCAACTTCACTGATCTAAACAATTGTAAAACAATTTTCCAACATCATAGAAATAGGTATCGACCAATAAGTCACAAAGAAGAAGATAAGAGGTAACAAATATCCTGTGTGGTTTGACGCTGCATTACGCAAATTGATTGTTGAAAAGAATAAGCTCAATCAAATATATCAAAGAACTAAGCTTCAAAGTGATTATATTAAATACTCCATTAAAAGGGGCGAAGTAAAATTTCGAACTGACTGGTGTTACTTAATGTTTATTTCGAACTCCGAGCACTTAATTCCACAAAACATAAAACATTTTTGGACATTTATTAAAAGTTTGCAGCGAGAGTACAGATTCCCTAATTTAATGAAGTACGGAAACTATGAACTCAGTGATCCTAAAGAAATTGCAAACACCTTCGCATCTTATTTCCAAACGTGCTATTCTAAAGACGACTTAAACCGAAAAATTGATCTTCCCGATGTGCCATTTTATTCCACTTAAGCCACACACTCTTTCACTCCTTGTGAAGTATCTTCTAAAATAAAAAGTCTTGACTCTAGTAAAATTGCGGGCCCTGATGGGGTACCACCGTCGTTCTTGAAGGGGTGCTGTGACTCCTTGTCAATCCCACTTAGCCAAATTTTCCAAAAATCATTTGATAGTGGAATATTTCCATCTACTTGGAAGTTTTCCTACCTTATGCAGTTTACAAGAAAGGGGATAAAAGCGATATAAAGAATTATAGAGGTATTTCCATTATATCGATAATTTCAAAACTATTTGAATCCATACTAACAGATGAAATGTTATACACGTATAAAAACTATATCTCACCTCAACAACATGGCTTCTATCAAGGTCGCTCGACATAAACTAATCTGGCAATCTATCAAGAGTTCTTAATTTCATCATTTAAAAATGGTTACCAGGTTGACACTATCTACATTGATCTGTCAAAAGCTTCTGACAGTGTCTGTCATGATTTGCTACTCAAGAAACTCTCCGAAATCGGTATCTCTGGTTGTTATTTTTACTGAATTAAATCTTATTTGTCATAGTGCATAATTCCGTATCATGTGACGTTTCAGTCCTATCCGGTGTTCCTCAAGGTTCACATATAGGTCCCTATTGTTTTCCTTATTCTTCAATGATGTTACGGCCTGCTTTCTTAATAGCCAATGCCTTCTTTTTGCGGATGATTTAAAGTTTTTTAGTAGAAACACTGGTAATAACTCCGCATTACAGTCTGACCTAAACAGGTTTGCTACCTGGTGAAAAAATAACGCTCTTTCTATAAATATTTCTAAGTGCACAACCTTGCATTTTACAAGATCCCACAATCTCACTCTTAACTGTTACAGTATTGACAGCGTCAACCTAGATAGATGATCTTCGACAGTCATTGATCTGGGCATTATTTTTGATACCACAATATCTATTAACAACCATATAGATTCCATAGTATGCAAAGCCCTCAGAATACTTGGCTTTATCGAGTGACATACTAGGTACGTGAATGACACAAAAGCAATCATGACACTTTACAATTAGGCATTCCAACGACCTGTCAAACATTATGTGCCAGTGGGAAATTCTTGTATATCTAAGGGGGTAGCGACATAGTCTTGCAACTTGGACGCTATTTTTATTCGAAGTAGTAGTCTCCAAGCCTGCCAATTTATGAAGAAATGTATAGGTAGGTTTTTAAATATTATTTTTATTGTGTTTGACATAAAATATTTAAATGTAATCCATTATTCATGATTTTACGTAAAGTAGATAGAATACACCGTATGTCGCCACCCTTAGATATACCAAACCTTCCCACTGGCAATTCATTTGTTTGGAATGCCTAATGGCCTGGTGAGAACTGTCGAATACTGTTCTGTTATTTGGCAACCTACTTACACCTGTCATATCAATAGAATTGAAAGGGTGCAACGTAAATTCGTAAAATACTTGCTCTTTAAACACCGATTTCATAGCCATAACACATGTTATCGAATAAGATTAATGCTTTGCGGCATGCAGAGCCTGGAATGCAGAAGAAAATAGGCTTTACTCCTATTCCTGACTAAATTAATAGGTGGTGGTTCCATCAAGCGCGGGTTACTGCTTTTAAGAGAGTTCAACTATTGGTTCCTGTCCGACGGACTCGGCACACATCACTCTTAAATATAAAATGACACAGAACCAATTACGGACAAAGTGCATTTATTGATCGCTTATGCAAGAACTATAACAAATTTTACTCGGACTGTGATATTATTTAGGCTATGGTCCGTTATTAACCGACTACGAACCGCAAATAACCAGGACTTTTTGACAGCGGTTCCTGAAAAAAAAATAATTTCTTGGTTACTTTTGGACCACTTCCGAGATTTACGTCACTTTTGTGACAGATTAACATTCGATTTAATGGTAACCGCAAAAATATACCGGTTAGTGAATTGACATTTGAGTCACCATTTTCAGGTAACCGCGTCCCTAATTTAACCGATTTTTCAGGAATGTCAAGCAGAGCGGTTAGTTTTGGACCGAGTAACCGATATTTCGGTTAATAATGGACTATACCCTTAATTGTAATATTTTGGCGCTGAAAAGGAACATGCAACTCCTGAATGTCTAAGTTTTACTCGTGTCGTCCCGCGGTGTTGTGTTATTCTTCCTTCTCTTAATATTTTATAAATATATATATAATTAAACTCTCTTATATATATATATTTTTTTTAATTTATTTTGTACTGTTTTTAATTCTACAATTGTTTGTGTAAGGTTAGATATACTGTACTATTTGGAATTTTACATTCTGTAAGTGCTACAGAAATAAATAAATAAATTTACTTCTTTTGACAAAATTTCACTATGCGCAGAGATGAGAATGATCGGAAGAATGTATTATATATTATACATATACATGTATACATTTTCGGCGTTTTTCCCCAGTTTTTCGCATTTTACGCAAAAACGATGCGTTTTCATAAAAATAACTGACCTTAAGTGAACTTGCAATATCTCTCTATTGTTATTTTTATTTGATTATACAGAATTATTTCTTAGAGGGGTAGTGGATGATATCTCCGTTATGAAATAAGACAGCAAAAAAGTTAGGTAGAGGTAAAAGTAGAGAATACTCAAAATAACAGTTATATATTTTAAAACGTAATGGACATACGTGGACGGAAAAAGAGCAGAAAAAACTTTTCTCGACTTCTAGGGCCATCATAGAAGTCCAAAGATATATGGATGATGATCTTTTAGATCGAAAAAAAGACCCTCTACAATGGTGGAGAGAACACCAATATATGTATCCAAATTTAAGTCAATTGGTAAGAAGTAAATTATGTGCTGTGGCTACCTCAGTGCCATGCGAAAGCCTTTTTTCTAAAGCTGGCCAAATTATTAGTGAACGTCGACGTAGTCTTAAGATGAGTATTTACTTTGCTTTAGAGCAGAGCATGCAAGGGTTTCGTAGTACCCCACTTTTAAAGTTTATTTTTGACATATTTTAAAAGACAAAAATATATGCGTGTAGGTAAAGGTTAAATCTATGCTCCTCTGGAAACACTTTTTCAAAATTTTAATTTGTTTTTTCTAAAAAAAAAAACACAAAACTCGACTTTATTGAACCATTTTCTCAATTGAATTTTGAAAAAGTGGTTCTAGAGGAGCATAGATTTAACCTTTATCTACACGTACATATTTTTTCTTTTAAAAATACTTAAAAATAAACTTTAAAAGTGGGGCACTACGAAACCCTTACATTGCAAGATTTTTCGTCTGGCAAGTGGCGCCTCTGTTAGATTTTTAAGAAATTAATATTTGTGAATGAAAACAATTTACAAAATATTTTACTGATGTTTTACGAGGGATAATTAAAGTTTACGTATTTGTAGGTACACCTTATTGTTTTACGTAAATCATTTATGTAATATGCAATGGGTTTCATAGTACACCAATTTTACGGTTTATTTTTTATTTTTTAAAAAATTATGTAAGTACAGGTAAAGGAGTCACTTTTTTAACATTTGAATCGGTTTATTTTGAGAAAATGTATCGAAAAAAAAAAAAAATACAAATAAAAATGCTAGAAGAGAACAATATATGTTTTTAATTTTTACAGGAACATTTATTTTTCTCAATAAAAATTAAAAAAATACGTTAAAAGCTTTTTCGTCTAGAGGGCGACACCAACAAAATGTATATCCTTTTCTACTGTTTACAAGTGATAAACGTACGCAAGTGATTTGAATTTATTTTGTTATTTTTACATACAGTAATTTCGCTCAATTATTTTAAATTAATGTTATCATTTATTTATTTAAAAAATATATCCGAAATTAAAAGGTATACAATGAGATTTGAATTATAAATTAACTTTTATATTGCACGGGAATTTTTTTTAATGAATACATTTTCGAGTTAAGAATAATGAATTCCAGCATGTTAACAACTCTTTAAGC